TGCCAGCAGCGGCTGGCAGATGCCCAAGAGCAGAAAGCCAAAAAGGAATGCCAAGCACTCTACGGAGCACCGACATGGCTTGCAGAGTGGCGCTGAGCCACTTCCTGCGGATGAATCTCTGAGAAAGGGCGGCTGAGGGCGTGTTTGATTTCGATCTATGCTTCACATTGCTACTGATACGCGTTGCAGTCCAGAACGTGCTCTGTGCTGTCCGCCTTCTTGTGGTCGAGCTGAACTGAGTTGCCGACACGTTGGTTCGAGAATCGAGCTCAATACATACATCCCAAAAGACTGTGCGATGTGATACATGTTTTATGCAGCTCTTATCGCAGCGCGATCTTTTCCTTTATTGCGAAACTCAATCTTTCTGCCAACTATCCTCCCCCATGCGAGGGAAGGTGTTTTGGTAGTGTATAAACGAGGCGACGTCCTCTTGCAGATGATATGATTTCGCTTGCACTTGCTTCGCTACCTTTTCATGGTGGTACATGACACTTTGTTTTTCTTTCTCTTCTTTTTCGTGTTCAATATTGGCGTTTTGCAAGGTTAAATAACGGAAATTGGCAACCAGGGGGTATGGCTGGCTACCACGGGTTATTCGCATGAATTGCATACGGTATATGTGCCCTGTTCTTCATCTTCTTCGTTCAACTTTTTTTTTCTTTTTTTTCCATGGATTGCACTGCCAGGATTTGGAAGGCTATCAACATCTTTTCGCAACGTCTCTTTGTGCACAAAACGGGAAACGGAATACACAAAAACATCCACCAAATATGGTGCGCGGGGACCCTCGATATACAAAACGGAGCAGGCATTGTCTCTTATACATACTGGCCCCTTTTCTTGCTTTTTCTCTTGATTGTTGTTCTATTTTGCTCTTGTGTGCTGTGACTGGCCACGCATCTTTGAATATTATATCCGACCGGCATGATCATCACCATCATCAGTTATCATTGTCAATATACCAACATAGCAGGGTGCCAGGCGAGTGGGTTTATTGCTTTTGTTGTCTGCTCATCATTACTTGCATCCCTCGATTGTTTTATGTTATGTGTGTTTGTGTGCTTGTACTACTCTGAGAAACCCCCCCCCCCCCCCCTTTTTTTTTTTTTTCTGCCCTGCGATTCTATTCCTCGGTTTCACAATTTCTACAGGAGGGAGAATGCAGATGGGGAGATGTATTAGACATTGGAAAAATTTCACATGAGGCAGAAATATCTGAAAAGAAATGAGAAAAAAAATTGACAAATCCACATATGAACGATCACTATTCTATGCTTCTTGGTTGCCTGCAAGGATGCTGATACATTCGGTATCAGTAGAAGTAGATTGTACTCAGCTGTACTTGTTCTGTGTAGGGTGTGGCTTCACCCGGAAATCGGCCGGAAGGCCGGTTGTTTGGACTACGGCGGACGGGAGAGACCAAGATGGGACCTCCACCCAACTCCAACTTTGCAAACCCTCCCGCAAAATAATTGTCCGCCCTCATCTCGACTTGGGATTCAATTGACATCCCCCCCCCTCTCCCCCTCTTCTCCCCCTCAGTTGACTGGCCCGTGGCTCCCCTCAGGTCTCTTCATCGAATTCTCTCGGTCACATCGACTTCATAGACCTGCTTGTTCTCATGGTATAGGTCTTGCAGTCATCCACGGGTCTGCGATGCCTTGAAATCAGACCACCATGACCCCCGAATCAGCAGCCGCCGCCCGCGGCACAACCACACCGGCCGTCCCCTCGCGCAACGCCCTTCGGGTCCTGCGACGGTTGGCCCTCGCCGGATCTACGGTGGGCGGTTTCTGTACCATCGCGGCCGTGACCTACGATGTGCACCGCCGGGTCACCATTGCCGAACGCATCGTCGAGAACAAGCGCGCCCTCCATGCTTCCGCCCCCAACTACGATGCCACGGCCGCCGCGAGGAGGCTCGCTCGCATGATGGAGGCCGCCGAGGCTGGCGAGTTTATGGGGCTGGAGTCCCTGAAGGACCAGGATCGCCGCGCTGCATCACAGACAACACCAACACCGACCCCTACGCCAGAAGTGATCAGTCCTCCGTTCGACCGCACAACAGCAACAGCAACAGCAACATCAAGTTCTTTTCAGGACATGTATATCCCGTTACCAGGAGTTGGTGGTGGTGGGTCGTCGCCCGCTTTGGCGGAGAAGCTGCTGAGAGATACGAGACCGGGCCCGATGAACCCGCAGATGCAGACTCCCGGGCTTGCTGATGGCCTGGGTTCTCTTGGCAGTAGCGGCAGTAGCGGCAGTAGCGCGAACGAGATTCAAAAGGCCGCGCCCAGCACACTCGGGGATAGTCTTACGGATGAGAAGGCCTTGATGGATACTTTGGACAATCAGCCGGTTACGTGGCAGATGCAATGGTTGCTGACCAACGACCGCCCGGTGTACGCGGCGCAGTTGTTCCTCGACAAGCACCCCGAGACACACCAGCACTTGGCTCCGGAACGACGGCAGCTGGCGGAGCAGGTGTTTTTCGCCAACTGCACGGCCGGGAATGTGCATCTAGCTCGGAATGTCTTTGAGCGGGTGGAAGCGGTGGACCAAGTCTCCTTTGAGATGTGGAGGACCATGATTCTGACGCTGGCGAAGAAGGGTGCCATCGAGTCGGCGGCTGCGATCTACACGCGCTACATGCACAGGTTCAAGGCTTCCCCGGAGATGATCGATATTGTGCTCCGCTGTCTGGTCGAGTCGCACCGACTGACCACGGCGAAATGGTTCCTTCTCCGGAATTTGCAGTATGATCGCGGCTGTGGCCTGTGCGGAGCGTACCTGACGGGACTCTGGAGGAAGACGAGAAGCATAGAGCTGCTCAACGGCCAACTGAGCAAGCTGCTGCGCGTCCTCATGCGCCTCGGGAAGAAGCCCACCGATAAACTGTTCAATCCGGTTATCAAGGCCTACGTGGAATTCGGCCGCCTCGCCGACGCCGAGGCCCTGGCGAACGAAATGACGGTGAACCATGGAATCCCGCCTCGCTGCCGGACCAAAGGGCTTCTGTTGCTGGGCAAGGCCCTGCAGTGCGATTGGGAGGGCGTCCGTGCCGGCTTCGAAGAAATGCACAAACTCCGCCTGGTGTATAGAGTGGCCGATTTCATCCCGGTCTTTGACCGCATCTTCCTCGAATACTGGCCGACGCACACTGCGGAGGAGATCCGCACATGGTTGTATGGCTACCTGACCGAGTTCGAAATTGTCCCCGATCGGGTCCTATACAAGCACATTCTGGAGGCCTTGGTGCAGAAAGGTGATCGGGACATGGTCTATGACTTTCTGCGCTTTGCCAAGGAACGCAAATGGCCGAAGCTCATCAATGAATTTGCATTCCTGGAAATGCTGCGATCCCAGCGCCACGCGCTCGAGCATTCACCGATCGGTTTCTGGCAGATGCTGCAAGCCGCGCGCATGAAGTACGGCCAGGCCGCCGCTTCCCAGCGGATCCTGGGGTATGATCAGCACTCGTTCCCGAGTCCGGAGGTCAACAAGATGCCGTTCACCGAGGACTCATTGCCCTTCTTCCAACGGATGCAGCAAGAAACACAGACGTCGAGGCCGGTGGATCAGTATCAGAAAGTCCACCGGCTGATGGCGCATTACATGCATAACGGCAAGTTCGTCGAAGCGTTGAAGCGGTACGAGGCTGCCAAAGCTGCGAGGTTCCACTTCAAGCAGGTGCACGTGGAGCTGGCCGCCATCGCTACCATCATCGAGAAGGGCATCGAGGCCGCCCGAGAGCTGATCGACTCCAACTGGAGGAGCATTCGCAATGTGACCCGGTTCCTCCCCCAATTCTTCCGGCAGGTGACCGAGATTGACACGCAGGCCACGAACGAACATATCAAGCTCGCCGTCTTCCGCTTCTATGAGATCTGCTCGTCAGGGAAGGACATGACCGTCAAGCACCACATGCTGGTTGCGCTCTGTCGGCGCCTGATCCACGAAGACAAGCCCGACCTGGCCCTCGAGCTTCTGTCCGCGATCTATATGTCCCGCTACCGGCACACCCTGGCCTTCGATGGGCCCTGTCTGAAGATGTTTCTCCGGGCGTTTACCCTGGCCGACAATCCCCTGGGTGTCCGGTGGTGCCTCATGACGGCGCTGACCTGGCCGAAGATCGACACCGACTTCACCATCGAAGTGCGGCGGATCATCGGGCGGTTGCGCCACCGCACGGAAAGCAATCTGACCAACATGCACTACATGATTGAACGCGAGGAATATCTCACCCACGTGGCCGACATGGTTATCCGGAAGGTCGAAGGCAAGGATGCCTCCACAACGTCGGATGTGATCCACAACCCCCGACTCAAGCGATCCAAGCGCAACATCATTAAGCGTCCCCCTACCGCGATCAAAGTCTACCGACTGGAGGAAGTGGACAAGGCGGTCGCCGAGTGGGACGAGGAATATGAATTGCACGCCGCGCTGGGACAGATCCAGAATGTGCGCGTGCGGGCTATTGCCGATCTTACTGAGGAGCAGTACCTGGAGCACGAGTGGAAGGAGGGCGATCTAGAAAGAGGGGAGGAGCACGAGCGAGAAACAGAGCGAGAAAAAGAGCAATGATATGCCAGATGGCAAATGCGATTGAAGGGGTTTCTTATGATTGCCCTTCTTGCATAGTGTATTTTCTATTTAGCTGGGAGGAGGAGATTCACAATCTTCAATACATTGTGTGTATGTATATAGGTCTGTACGATAGCGGTGTCAAGAGTCAATCAATGACTGAGGTTCAAGGTTATGAGAGGAAGATACCAATTTGAATTGATTATGGGTTCTACCGTGCCTACTAGGTCAGAGTATGAGAGTATGAGAGGATGAGAGGATGAGTCGATGTTTACCGGGTTGATCGTACGGTGCCTGAAATTACTGGGTTGGGAATAGTCGAGTGTTTGGCTGCCGTTTTCACATGTCAGGGTGTCACGCCACTCATTCATTGTTGGCCAGTCTGATTCTCTCTCTCCGCCCGCACTTTTTCTTTCTCCAAACACACCCCCCCCCTTTCTCTCTCGAAAACCAGCCACCTCCTCCCTTTTGACTACTCTTCTTCCGTGTTGCAAACGAAATATGCCCTGCGCTCTCTTCCGAACTACCTCGTCTCGTCGAATTTGACCCCTTTCGCCTTCTCCCATCGCACAATGGCCACCGCGGTCGCCAATGGCCACGCCACCCCCTCCGCTGATGCGGCCAGACAACGGAGACAGATCCACCACGCCGCCGACGTCGTGATCGTGGGCGCCGGGATTCTCGGATGCGCCCTCGCCGTGACACTAGGGAGACAAGGCCGGAGTGTGCTGCTACTGGAGAACTCGATGAAGGAGCCCGATCGCATCGTGGGCGAACTGCTGCAGCCCGGGGGTGTCCAGGCCCTGGAACAGCTCGGTCTCGCCGACTGCCTGGAGGATATCGACGCGATCCCCGTCGAGGGCTACTACATCACATACCACGGCCAGCCGGTGGAGATCCCGTACTCGCAGGCCTCGCCGACGACGCCGCCGCCTCGGGGCCGCTCCTTCCACCACGGCCGGTTCGTGATGAAGCTCCGCGGCGCCGCGCTGGCGTGCCCCAACGTCACAGTGGTCGAGACCAAGGCCACGGAGCTGGTCACATGCTCGCACACCAAGCAGGTCCTGGGGGTCGAGTGCGTGACCAAGGACGGCAAGGCGGACTGCTACTTCGGCCACCTCACCGTCGTGGCGGACGGCTACGCCTCCAAGTTCCGCAAGCAACACCACGCCCGCACGCCCGAGGTGCGCTCGCGCTTCTGGGGGCTGGAGCTGATCGACCCCGTCATGCCCAAGCCCTACTACGGCCACGTGCTGCTCAGCGACGACGCCCCGATCCTCATCTACCAGATCGGCACCCACGAGACCCGCATCCTGATCGATATCCCGGAAAACTGCCCCTCGGCTTCCGTCAAGAACGGCGGCGTCAAGGCCCACATGCGCAACGTCGTCCTCCCTTCGTTGCCGGAATCCGTCCGCCCCTCCTTCGAGGCCGCCCTCGAGAAGGGCCCGCTGCGCTCCATGCCCAACTCCTACTTGCCCAGTGCGCGCAACCAGACCCCCGGGCTGGTCATCCTGGGCGACGCCCTCAACATGCGCCACCCGCTGACCGGCGGCGGCATGACCGTCGCGTTTAATGATGTTGTGGTCCTGCGTGACCTGCTGAGTCCCGAGCGGGTGCCCAGCTTCAGTAACACCGAAAAGGTCATCCGGCAGCTGTCCTCGTTCCACTGGCAGCGCAAGAACGGATCCTCGGTCATCAACATCCTTGCGATGGCGCTGTACAGTCTTTTTGCTGCGGACGGTTAGTCGCCCCTGTCCTTGTTGCCCCCCTTTGCACATATCAAACGGAACAGAGCCGTGTATAAACTAACACCGCCGGTGTAGATGAACACCTCCGCGCCCTCCAACGCGGCTGCTTCCGCTACTTCGAACTGGGCATGACGGCCGGCCCCGTGGGCCTGCTGGCGGGCATGACCCAGAAACCCGCCGTGCTGTTCGGCCACTTCTTCACCGTGGCCTTCCTGTCGCTGTGGCTGCTGGTCGCCGAGTCGCCCCTGTACAAGCTGCCGCTGGTGCTGTGGCAGTGTGTCATGGTGTTCTGGACGGCGTGCGTGGTGATTTTCCCGTACATGCTGATCGAGGCGTTTTGTTGAATGCTGATTGCTTGGTGGACTGTGAATATTCCCTTTTTATTCTGGCGTGTATAATATTGACTTCGGTGTCTTTGAACTATATTAATACCTTTTTTTTGTGTTGTGGTTGTTTTACGTCAAGTTGGGTTGTTGGGGACCTAGTATATACGTGCTACGTTTTTGTGGTTGATAGAATAACAAGATAGCGTGGTTTAATGATAAGTATAAGAGTCAGGTTGATATTGGGTTCAGAACTGGAGTAAGTGGATGTAATAGTCCAGTCTCTAGGGAGTACATATAGAAACCTAGTTACGGGGTGGGGGTATAGTATAGTATCGTATAGCTTACCTGAGCTACATAGAAATTCGGCATCGTGGTCACGGTCACGGTCACGGTCACGGTAAAACCGGCTCATCCGCCAACCGCACCCCCTCCGCTGCTTCACTCTCTTCCGATTCAGACTCAGATCCCTCCGGCTCCCTCCTGCTGGGATTGTTGTTCCCTTCTTCATTAAACAGAAGCGCCGAGGACCGCAGCGCCGCATCATCCAGACCGACTACCCATCCCAATCGTTAGCATACCTCTCACAAAACCCCCCCCCCCCCCCCCACACACAGAAGAACCACATTGCGCAAAATGGGAAAGGAAAGACTAACCGAACGGCCGAATCCACCAACTCGCGGCGGCCGCCGCCCCAAATACAGCCGCCAGCACCACAAAGATAGCCGGCGTGAACCGCCCGACCGTGACGCTGTAGATCAGCGAACACACCGAGGGGGCGAAGATGCGCGCCAGCGCGTGCAGCAACCCTTTCGCGCCGAGGATCTGCCCCAGCCCCTCGCGGGGCACGTGCTTGGTGAGCGAGGACTGCAGCATGGGGACGCCCATCCCGCCGAGGGCGAGGATCACGCCTGAGAAGGTCATGAGGGCGCCGTTGAAGGCGATGGCGTAGCCGATGTTGCCGAGGGTGTCGAGGAGGATCGAGATGCGGATGAGGGTGATTTCGTAGGGGGAGGAGCCTGGGACGTGTTTTTCGGCCGGGTTTTGGGTTGGGGGCGGGGTGGGTTGGAAGATGGCCGTGATGATCGGGTAGATCACGAAGAGGTTCAGGACTCGGATGATGCTGATGCTGGAGATGAATAGGCTTGATTCCACGTTGCCCCACCCGAACTTGTACTCGGCGTACATGATGATTACCTGTGCGGAGCCGAGGGCGACGCCGAAGGCGAGGGTGTCGAGGGTGGTCAGGAGGATGATGTTGCGGCGGAGGGCGGGGGTCGCGCCCCCCGCGTTGGGAAAGAGGGGGCTCGGCCGCCCGACGGGCGGGAGGAGCACGGCCAGCGGGGTGAAAAGGTGTTTGGGGTTGAGGGTGTCCCAGAGGCGGGTCGGGGGTTGGTCGTGCAGGTGCTTGCGGTGGCGGTCCCGGAAGGCGGCCTGACGGCGCGCGGAGAGGGATTCCGGGACGACGAGCAGGATGGTCACCAGGAAGAGGATGTGCAGGACGAGCGAGGCCGTGAAGACGTCCAGCACCTGGCCGGTACGTTTGATCAGGATGGCGGCCAGGAGCGGGCCCGCGGCCAGCCCCGAGAACAGCGCCCCGTACAGGTAGCCGAAGGCGACGCTGCGGTGGGCGGGCGCCGTGCAGTCGGAGGCGTACGAGGCCGTCAGCGCCATGATGGTCGTGAACGAGCCGCCCAGCCCGTCCACGAACGCCGCGACTAGTAGCACGTTCACCGAGACCAGGTCCGGCTGCGCCGCCACGAACAGCGTGATCGCCTCCCCGGCCACCGTTGCCAGCGTGCTCAGCGCGATCACCCGCGTCCGCCCGTGTCGGTCCGACAGGTGGCCCAGCCGCGGGCACACCAGCGCCGACAGGATCCCCGCCACCAGGTTGTAGTACAGCTGGAACCGCGCCACCTGCGACTGCACCTCCGGGATCTGGCACTGCGCGTTGTCGCTCCCGATGATCACCGGCAGGTACGTGAACCCGGGGTTCTGGCTGGCCTTCTTCGCCATGTAGTCCTTGCACACCAGCGTCACCATCAGGTTGATCTTGGGGACTGCCGTGCCCCCGAATCCCAGCATGTAGAGGATCAAAAACGGGAAGAGCCAGAAGACCTGCTCGATGACAGTTAGTACGAGGAGGGTTTGTAGCATATAGCGGGGATATCACGTATCACTCACGCTCGCCTTCCACCACGTGTGTCGGGGGCTTTCATCCTCATGGTCGTAGTCATGGCCCGATGGTGAGAGGCTCGTCTCGTCGGAGTCGTGCGATGGTCTATTGTCGCCTAGTAGAGGCGTCTGTTCGTGGTGCTCGGAATGAGCCGAGGCTGCATTCGACCGAGCACGCAGACTCGAGTGGTATTCGACGTCTGCTGGAGGGGTGTCTCCCCTGGTTTGTGGTGTAATGCCCGTCATGTTTAGTCGGGCGATTTATGAGGATGATAGTCGCACGAGAGCAGTCATACAGAGTGTATATAGTTGAAAGTTGCTGCCTGTAATTCCTGGGGAAGGGGGTGGGGAGAAGAGCGATGGCCAGCGGAACTGGTTCAAGCTGCTTATCAATCAAGCTCAAGATCAACAGACGTGGTCAAGATTGAGCCAGAGATAGATAAAGATTCAAGTCTTCAAATGAGGAGTCGACTCGTTACCAAGTAGTGACGTGATTGACGGGACAATGGCATGCATTGGAGCCAGCCAGCTGGTTTATTGGTTTCAGGTTTCGGGGGCATTTCAGCCACTGAATGTTGTTGAAGCAAGGACGTTGATAAGAACCAGGGAAGGCGAATCGAAACCGATAAGAACTCAACGGTCGGTCGCGGAGCTCCGACTTTCCGACTTGGGATAATACCAGTAATGAAGTAATGTACACTTAAGTATCCTCTCTTCTCAATCGACAACACAGAAGAAAATCCCTTTATCACTAAGATTTTCCGAGAAGCAAGACAGGAATAAAAAATCTATCAAACGCCGGCCTGCCATCCAAAGCACTATACAATTGATTTAAAGAACCAGAGAGGAAGCACGCTCGCCAGCAAAGAACTTCTTCTGTTCCAAGCATCGCTCACTCGTGCAGCCCTGACAACGCAGAGTCATCTGCAGCGAACAGGGCTCCCCCTTGCGCAGATGCTCCTGGGCAACGTCCGCCAGAGCTTGGATGAAGATGGGGCTACCGTTCAAGCTCTCCGCACGCTTCACTCCCGGGTGATTGGCTTCTTCCATCACTTCAAGATCCAGCTCGTAGAGGGTTTCGATGTGGTCACTGGTGAAGGCAATAGGGACCAGAACGATGTCGGTCTGACCCCGCTTCACATATTCCTGCACTGTATCACTTGTCTGTGCTCCCAGCCAAGCCCTCGGTCCGACCTGAGACTGCCAGCATAGTCGGTAAGGGTTGCTGAACTTGAGTCTCTGCATGACTGCATGGACAGTCGCAGCAACTTCTGCCGGATAGGGGTCACCTGAAAAAAGCACCGTTAGCTGCGGAAATATCATAGGTCGGCGAGACGATCGGCCTACCTCGGTTCACAACGCTCATGGGCAGACTGTGGGCCGAGAACAAGAGAACAACGCCGTCTCTTTTGTCTTCGGGATAGGTCTTCAATTGATCTTCGATGTTCTTCGCGAAAGCCTCCACCAGACCCGGATGCGTGGGCCACCGATCGATCACGCTCCACTGAATGGAACCCGCGGGCTGCACGCCGCCATTCACCCGGGGCCCCTCCAAACGGTTCCTCCACTTCCACAGCTCGTTCAGGGAGCTGCCTGTGGTCGAGCAGGAGTATTGTGGGTACTGCGAGAAGGCCACAGCGCGTCCACCTTTACCGTTGCCGAATCCATCCTGTAGCAACTGCGCATACATCGTCTCGGTCAACGGTGCGGCGTAGCGGAAAGCGACGTATGGCTTGTGGGGGGCGGTCTCCGGGTTGATCTTATCCAGCAGCTTGCACATCTCCTCACACTGATACTCCGACCACTTCCTGATCGGCGAGCCTCCGCCGATCTCCGCGTACTGCTTCTGGATCTTAGGTGTTCTTCGCTTTGCGATCAGCGGTCCGAGATATGACTGTAGTCGACCCAGGGGGATCAAATCGCCGTCGGCCTGTGGTGTAAGGTTGGGTTAGTTGAGGGATCGGTGAAGAACCGAAGCGAACCTTCCCTCCCCGAAGACGTACAAATAATCTGCTGAGGAAGTCCTCGACTTCGTCGGTGGTTGAGGGCCCTCCCATGTTGAGGAAGACCATGGCTGTAGGGCCCTTGGAGCCAGTCGCATCTTGAGTGACTGGAGGAACTGCTGTTGCAAGACCGTGTCTGTGTTCGTGGAAGTAATTGAACGAGGCGCGAGTTGCCGGTCGCAACAATTGCCGGGGAAGAGCGAATGGGCGGCGAAGAGCCATGGTGGTCATTTGGCGACTACCTGAGAGGCAGCAATGCGATCGGATATGGAGAACCGGAAGGGGTCGAGCGATTGAAGGCTAGGCCGATCGCAATCGAGTATATTCAAGACAGCAACAATGAGTGGCAAGCAGAAGGCCAGATGTTGAGATTGAGTGAGACTGCGTGAGTGAAAGGCAGCTGAGAAAGCCGGCCTGGTTGGGAAAAGGCCCAGAACTGGACGGATGACGGAGACGGAGCTTGGCTGCCAAAACCCCGATGCACCAATCACCACCGTCCGAGGGTCATCAAGTCTCATCGAGTCTCAATTCATCGAGATCCATGATGATCACATGATGTTCGTGTTTTCCCCGCGTCGGTCTTTCGCCCGCCAACCCGCGCGTCATCGCGACCGCCATTGTACAGTACCTACTGTATCCGTACTGCCTGTAGGCTCCGAACTGGTGGTTAGAGCTTCCCGAATAATCGCCCAGGCAGCACAACCACTCCAGGCAGATACACCCACCCTCGCGCTGGACACATTTAGACATGGAACTTTGAATGATCTCCTTTTAATCTCTTTCACTCCTGGTAGAATTATTGATTTCTATTCAAACTCACGTTAAACTTCTCAATTATGGACGACAGTAATCCACCACGAGACGATGAAGTAGGCGAAGAGGAAGAAGAGGAGATCGATGAATCCGTACATACTTCCCTTTGGCTTCGGGCCTGCAATCCTTGATGCACAAGCTAGGCTGATCATACACAGAACTACAAAACGGTGAAAGATGCGGTTCTCTTTGCGATCGAAGTTAGCGACTCGATGCTCGAGCCTCGCCCATCTGTCGACTCCAAGA